AGGGCATTGCAGGGGCACGAGCACCTGCAGCAGCTGGTCTTGGACTGGCCGGAGCCGCGGCCGCCGAGCCGGACCGCCGCGGCCGCCGCGCGCCGCCGCCGCCGGCTGCCTGCGGGCGACCGCAACGGCGCGCTGCTGTGCCGGTGGCGCGCCGCGCTCGCGTGCTTCGAGGCCTCGGCGGCCGCGGCGCCGACGGTGCGCGCGCTGGCATGCCGCCTGGCGGGGCGCTTTGAGGCGCAGTCCGTGGACTGGGCGGCGCCGCCGCTGCCCACTCAGGTTTTCGAGCCTGGCTTTACTGGCGACAGCGACAACAGCCAGTGGGTGCCAGATGCATATGCCCGCCCGTCCACCTCCAATGCGCATGAGGGCGCCGCCGCCAGCCCCAAGGTGTCGGCGGCCGAAGCCTGGGGGCGCCTTGAGTCCCTGACGCTCAACCTGGACGGGCCCCTCGGCCCGCTGCTGTGCGCGGCTGCGGCCAGGGCGCCCAACCTGAGGCGCCTGGCACTGGAGCGGCCCGAGCTGCTGCCCGGCCGCCAGCCGGCCGCGCGGGCCGCGCTCGCCGGCGTGCGGCAGCTGCCGAGGCTCGAGTCCCTCCGGCTGGACTTGACCGCGCACGCAGCGAGCGGCGGCCCCGTTGCCGCGGGCGACCTGCGGGCGCTGCTCGCGCAGCTGGCGGGCGCCCGGCCGGCAGGGCTGGCGGAGGTCTCGTTGGTGCTGCCGCGGGCCGCGGCGGCGGGCGTTGGGTCGGCGGCGATGGAATCCCTTGTGCTCGCAAACCCTGGCCTGAGATTCGAGTTTTTGAATGCCTGAGCACGCGCCGGTTCCGCTGCTTCTTTTTGACGGCCCAGGTCACTGCTTGACAACTTGAAGGGTTGCCATTCTGTGAGGGTCCCCATGCCTTGTCCATGCGGAGCGGAGCGTGCGGACGATCTGAGGGCTCCGCCTGCTGGAGCACCCTTCAAGCTTGCACAGGCTTGTGCGCAGGCGTGAGTGTTTGGGGTACCGACGCGCACGCTCCGCGGAGGAGCCCTCAGATCGCACCACCGTATCACATAACAAGCAAACCCCAATAAACCATGTGCCTCGTTCTCCAACCCCCAACATTCGACAGTGAATTGTGAACCCTTTGAGGCATGGTTTGCCACCTCATTACCCTTAAGTTTCGCAGTCCAGTGCGAAATCGCCTGGGTTCTGGGGTGCGGGAGCACACAGGCAGCTGCCTTGTGGTGGCAGGGGATGTTGAAGTGCGGCCTGTCGCTGGCTGCCTGGCCGCAAGCGGCACAGAAACCCTCAGCTGTGTCAAAGCCGCCTAGTGCAGACCTGGTTTTGCAGTTTCAGCCAGTTCGGAAGGTGATCAATGGCAACGCAGCAGCGCGGCGGCCGCAACAACCAATAACCGAACGACAGCAGCAGCTAGGGGTGGCCACAGCTGGGTTTCGGTGGCAGCGACATCAGCAGCAGCACCACCAAACAAGCAAAAGGCTGTTTCGCTGCACCTGGGGGAATGGGATTACACGCTCAGAGCTCGGAGTCTAACAGACGGTCACGATGATGAGGTGATGGCTGGCTCGCCCTCACCACGTGATCTCGAGATTTTTTGGGGTCAAAAATCCGGAAACTTCGTCCAATTCCGAAAGTGAAGGCGACCTCGCCCGCCCACTTCCGCTGTCTAACTCCGATTCCGCGCGAAACGACCACACTTGCAGCAGTCTGGTTCGGAAGGAGGGGCAGCCAGCCAAGTGTGGCTTTGAGAGTAGTGGAGATTGTAGAAAGCAGCTGTCACATCAAGGGCCCAAGCACAAGCTGCGAGGGTGCCGCTGCCGCCGTCCGCCCGTGGCCACAGCCCAAAGCGTGGTCCCGCCATGGAGCACGGGCCGCACCCCCTCTTCGGCCGCTGCGTCTACGCCACCAGGGCCTGCAGCGCCGGCGACGTGCTGCTGCGCGAGCCGGCGCTGCTGCAGGCCGCGTCCCCGGCGACGTGCCCCCTGCTCAGCCAGGTGCTCTCCCTCCTGCGCGCCGGCACCGCCGCCCCCACCTCTGGCTTGAACGAGGCCGCCAGCGGCGCCAGCTGCGCCAGTGGCGGCAAGCTGCCCGCCGGCGCTACGGACAGCGACCTGCAGCTGTCAGCGGCGCAGTTTGTGGCGTTCTGCCTGGCGCCGCCCTCCGTCCAAAGCGAGGTGCTCAGGTGCGGGCTTGTCCCCGGGATGCCCACGCCGACGTGTGTGAGTTGGCTGCCCCTTGGTAGGGCTCGGCAGAGTGACGTCCCGAAAGACGCCCCCAGCTTGCAGGACTGAGAAAACTTACAATTGCAGGCCTGCGTTGGTGCGCGCCGCGGCGCTTTCCATGCAGCAGCGGCGTCCTTGCCGGGCAGTCCGGCGTGCCACACCAGCACGCTTGGTCGCTCACACCCAACTGCAGGCGCAGCAGCTGCCCACCCTTGAGCCGCCTCCGTCCCCCCTTGTCCATGCTCGTCTTGCCCACAGCATGCAGAACACGCCCGATGACCGCGACAACGCCACCGTCAGGAAATGCGCCGCCATCGCCGGCCTCATCGCCGCGCTCGTCCTGCCCACACTCACCAGCCTGCTCGCGACAGCCGCCGCCGCGGCCGCAGCAGCCGCCGCCGCCGCCGGCTCGGTCGCAACGGGGGACCGCGAGGAGCCCCACGGCGGCCCAGGTGCGGTTGTGTCGCGCGTCCCGACCGACAAAGAGGGCGTGGAGCGCGTGCTGTTGTCATGGAAGCTGAACCTGCACGACATGCGCGGCAGGTGGGTGGGCGGCTGAGAGAGGGTTGTTGAATCGTACGCGCATGCATCTCTCTGGGCCGCCGGCTGGAGGGCAGCATCTTGAGCGCCGCCGCCTTGCACTGCTTTGAAATCGGACCGAGATGACTGTTGTGTGTGCCCACATCCGCAGCTCTGACGCCCCTCAGAGCCCGATCCCCCGGTCCCCCGCCCACCTCCTCCACTCCCCTCAACCCCCCTCCCCCTCCTCGATCATCCCCCAACCCCACTCCCTGACCCGCCGCCCTCATGCAGCCACAAGCTCTACCGCATGTCCAGCCGCCTGCCCCACACCTGCGGCCGCCCCAACGCCATGGTCATGCCGCATGGGGACGCCGGGGATGCCGCGGTGGTGGCGCTCACAGGCATTGCTGCGGGGGAGCTACTGACGACGAGCTACTTCCAGCACAGCTCAATGTCGACCTGCGCCAGGTTGGTTTGATGCATCGCTGCATGGCGGCGTCAAGGTCAGATACAGTAGGGAATGTTGTGTCAGATTCCTGACTTCAAAATCCGTGACTCCACTAGTGGTGATGGTACGTGTTCAAGTGCTGGTAGACAGCAGAGGGTCGGGTGTGCAGGGATGCACGGGGTTGGAGAAGGGGGAGTTTTGGGCGCAGGGGCAGCGTCCGCAGCGCGGGGGCGTTGCGCGTGCTGACAGGGATGCATGCGCGCCTGGGGCAGGCTGGCTGGTGCGATTGGTTTGCTCCCCACTGCGGTCCTCAGAAAGGCGGGCAGAGAGCCTCGGTGTGCTTTGTTCCAATTTGTGGTCTGGAGTCGCCTTGGATCTTGCTGTTTGACCCTGACCTTGCTTGAGCAGGGTTTCGGGGACCTCGAAGGCCCTGGCTGGCCCGGCACCCGCCATGCGCCAGCGCCCGTTGTGCACGACACCCCAACAACTCACCAATTCACCCAACCCTCACACCCTACTCTCCAACACCCCGCTCCTCACCAAACGCAGGCAGCTCCACGCAAAGTCCCGGTTCGCGTTCGCGTGCCGCTGCGCCCGCTGCACCAGCGACGCGCTGGACTCCACGCGGGGCCTGCCGTGCCCGCGCTGCGCGCCGCCGGACCAGCAGCGGGACGCCGAGGGACAGCTCCCGCCCGCGTTGGCCCTAGGGGACCGCCGCCCCGCTGGCGTCCTCTACTATCACCCAGGGCTCGCTCATGCACAGGCTGGCGGTTGTGGCGCTGAGGTGGCGGTGGCGGCGCGTGGGGGTGCCGCAGGGGATTGTGTCAGCGGTGACAACGGTGACCAGCAGCAGAAGGCTCAGCAGCAGCAGCAAATGCAGCAAAAGCAGCAGCAGCGGCAGCAGCAGCAGCAGCAGGCGACGCCGTGGCGCTGCACAAACGCGGAGTGCGGCGCGGCGCTGCCCGACGACGACGCCGCCCTGTTCGGCGGCGCCATGGCCGAGGCCGCGGGCGTGAGAGCGGCCGCGGCAATGGCTGCCGGCGACGTAGACAGCGACGGGGGCGGCCAAAGGGTGGAGGACGGGTACTACCGACTGCTCAGCAGCTACTGGCAGGGGGGGCAGCCGGGGCTGGCGGAGGCGCAGGGGCGGCTGTTCGAGGTGGGGCGAGCCCTGGGGCCGGACCACTGGGCGACGCACGAGATGGCCATAATCAGTGCAGGTGGGTCCGGGGCTGGGTGACGGCTGTTGCTGCAACCTCCTAGGCGGTGGTGACTGTTTAGGCGTTGGTGGGGAGAGGGTTCCGAGAGGTGACCTGATTGGACAACGCAATACAGGGCTGCCCAGGAGATTGCATCGCTTGACGAAACAGATTTCGTGTCCACAGCCTGGCCGCCCGATCGTGCCCAAAAAGTGCGCGGCGCCGTTTGCTCAAACGACGCTGCAGGCGCCGTGCAGAGGGCGTCGCAAGGGGAGCCGCCGGCGCGGCAGCTCATGCGGCTGGGGCAGGTGGAGGGCAGCGTGAGGCGCGCGGCGGAGTGGCTGTCCGACAGGACGACGCTGGACGCGGCCGCGGTGCTGTGGCAGGTGATCGGGTGGGCGGAGCCGGCTATATCATGCCACTGAGGAAGGAATCTTTCATGCAGCAGCCGCTGCTGTTGCCGTCGGCAACGGTGTGCTGCGGCTGCTGTTAATTGCCAAGCTGGCGCCTTGCAAATGATGCCAGTGTCATTGAAGGAGCCAAAGAGACGCTCCGCCCCACCCCTCACATCCGTGCACCCGCCCCGCACTCCCTTTGTGCGCCCCTCAACCCCCAAGGCCAAAATTAATGCTCCACCGACCCCCCTCCCCACGCACATACACACTTACACACACACACACACACACACACGCACACGCACACGCACACGCACACACACGCGCACACGCACACACACACACACACACACACACACACACACACACACACAC